CAGGGGTAAGAAACATGAGACCTTTGCCTCCCCAAAATGAAACGCTCCTAAAGCTCAAGGCTGAAGGTGCTTTAAGGCTCAGCCCTTTGTCCTTGTAATCCCTTGTGGGGAGCCGGCCATGCCCGCCCTGAGCGCGGGACAGCGAGGGGCCACAGCTTGGTTAGGAGCATGGAAACACAGCAGCCACCCCTTTCCCCACGTCCGGACAGAGCAAGTCCTGCCTCGCCGTGACATGACAGCCGACAGCGGCTCCGAAGGGCCCCAGCCGCTGGCCACAGGTGGGGGGACCACCACCAAGGGCCACCAACAGGGTTGAGGAGCAGCTGCCGCTGATGGGACCGCGAGCAGGGAGGCAGGGGAGCAAGGAAAGGACACTCACCCGCCCTGTGTGCCTGGGTGACTGCGCCGAGGGGTCCCTGCTGGAGGCACGGTGAAGGAGTCCCGGTGAAGAGAGCAGGAAACCTGACAGGGAACGGTACTGGGGGGAAAGAAATCAGCTGCCCCCCTCTTGCTCTCTCTGCGGCCTCTTCGTCAAGGGGCAGGACAACTGTCAGCACCAAAACTTTATCAGCTTTCTAAATATAGCGTTGTCCTGACGCTGGCTGCTGGATTGCACAGGGAAAGAATTCGGTGCCTCATAGATGGCAACTGGTCAAGCACTTAACTCCTTCCCCGCTGTGGGCTGGATCCTCTGACATTTCCCAGTTGCAGGAGGAGCCCAGAGCCAGTGAGGCTGGACCTCCACCTGCAGAGACCCTCCAGGCAACTGGGACACCACCAGGTGCAACCTGAAATGGTGGTGTGACCTCTGATGTCCTTGGGAAACGCAGTGTGGGATGAGCCACTCTAAGCTTACCAGAAGCAAGGTACCTGTCAACTACCTAGACTTCTGTAAGATCTTTGATACAGCCCCTCCAAAACATTCTTACCTCTAAATTGGAGAGATGGAGTCAATGGATTGGTCATTCAATGGATAGGGAATTGGCTGGATGGTTGCATCCAGTTGCAGTCAACGGCTCAGTGTCCAAATGGAGATCAGTAATGAGGAGTTTCCCTCAGGGGAAACCAGGGTCTGTAGTGACAGGCCAAGGGACAATCACTTTAAACTAAGAGGGCAGATTTAGATTAGATAGAAGGAAAAAATTATTTACAATGAGGAAGGTGAGACACTGGAACGGGTTTCTCAGAGAAGCTGTGGATGCCCCAACATTTAAGTGTTCAAGGTCAGGCTGGATGGGGTTTTGAGCAACCTGGTCTAGTGGAAGATGTCCCTCCTCATGGCAAGGAGGTTGTACTAGATGATCTTTAAAGGTTCCTTCTAACCCAAACCATTCTGTGGTTCTATGATTGTATGATTAGCTGATTTTTGGTTTTGGAAGAGCTAGAACTGAGGTGCACTATGTCTTCTCTGATGTCTTTTCAAAGAGGAAACCTCCAGTCCCCATCTCTTGACTCCCCAGCAAAGCTCATGGGCCAGGCTGGTCTGAGGCAGAACCAGATGACAGCCTAAGTGCTATTTACCTGTACTGGGGCTACAGTTCTGAGTCATGCAATAACATCCCACTGTTGATTCCTTTTGCAAACAAACAAGCAAACAAGAAAGGAAGTGGAAAAAAGAGAACTGACCTACTCATACCACAGACACCTCTGCTGCTGCATCATGCTGGCCAGGGCCTGCACACCCTCCTTGCTTCTTACTTGAGTGCTGCATCCCTAGATGGGGATGAGGCCACATTTGCAGAGATGCCACATCATAGAATTGTTTTGGTTGGAAAAGGCCTTTAAGATCATCGAGTCCAATGACAATCACAGCAGGGAAGAGCTGTGAAACAGGTACCTAAGTCTTTATGTGCTCATAGCCTAGATCTGTGGGGTGAGCAAGCAGGAACAAGAGAAAGTGGTACACTGAATCTCTGGTGCTGTATCAAGGAGAGAAATAGATTACTGCTTACAGGTTAGAAGAGACCCTAATGGTTTAGTGTACCAGAAGAGGATGAATTGTGTCATTCCTACAGCTGCCTCCTCTGGGCAATGCAATTTTTATCCCTTTCTGCAATGCAGTGCCCCATGTGTTCTTGTTAATTACTGCTAATTGAAACAGGAAGTGATCTGAAGACCTATGTGCTCCCTTATTATTGGAGAACAGAGTTTTCAAAGGGCTTAAATGTTGTGGGAGCACGCATAATATTGACACCCCATAAAAATTAATGCTTTCAAGTCACTTACCTGCTTCTGAAAATCCTGTTTGGGAATCTTTAGGATACATCTGCAACAGGGGAGGATGGCCAGACCTGAAGTCCCTGCCTTGCCCACCAAAACCATTCCCAAGTAGATGCAGACAGGACTGTGTATCTTGCAGACTTGTGGAGAATACACAGACAGCAGGCAGCCTGGCAGCTCTTCCTCTCTGCTTGTTACAAGTTGTTGCTTTATGGGGTCAAGATGACCAGGCAGAACAGAGGCAAGGATACTAGAAATCTTTGCTAATGGATGTATGTACATGCAAACATAGCAAATTTAACAAGCTGTAAGTGGTTGGGTGTCTGGTGATTAATACATCCACTTATAGATGAACCTGAACTGAACATGGCCAGGTGCTGTCCTCTCAGGTGGGAGAGATGGGATCTTGATGGAAGGTTCCTCTTTCTCTGTATTAACAGGAGTTACTTATTTGGATTGCTGATTTTTATGAGACAGAAAGGAACTTCCCATCTTTAAGATTACTATCTGTCTGTCAAATTTAGCTGAAATCAGTCAAATGGGTTTTGAAATTAGTGGGGAGAAGAGAGGGAAGAAAAGTTGTATAAATGGTAGTGAAGGTCTTATTTCTGTGAAGAAGATAACAGCAAGCTTACCAAGTTGGTACAGTGTCTGTCAGGGACTGTAACCAAGTTCTTTTGGTGAATACTCAAACCTGTTATGTAAAGAACTGAGAATTAATGGAGGAAGTATGGGCAGATGGTGTACAGTGATGGCATTTCTGTCACTGTCTCTGTTCATCAGATTCAGTTAAAATGTTAAATGGGAGCAAAATCAGAAGTGTGGAAACCAGAGGAAAGATCCTACATGGAGGCTGTGGGATAAAGTTAGAAAGATCTTAAAGTCCTTAAAGGAGGTAAAAACTTCAGAACCTCATCCTTGTGGGGAACCTCATCCTTGTGGGCTCCAAAGAGAAGAAAGGAGACTACTGACCTTGCTCCAGTTTTGTTTACATCTTAAGTCATTTGTAGTTAGCATTTTGAGGTTAGCAAGCTGGTTTTGGAAAAAAGCTCTCCTCTCTTTGCAAGGTCCTTGCCATCTCCTAATGCCTGCAGGCTATCAAAGATGAGATGCAAACAGCAGGATGGATTTTTCTACTGGCTGTCCTCATTTGGAAGATTGCCAAATAATACAGTTTCTGTTCTCTGATGTGCTTTAATTTGCTTTGTGCTCACAGTCTGCTTGAAGAGACTGAGGTCATGTATCAAGCACAGAAGTAGAGATCACCCTTTCTATCAGAGAGATTGGATTTCTAGTCGTGCCCAAGTTCCATTGTCTTGGAGGTGTTTGGAACAACTGCCATAGAGACAAAAAGGTAGTTTTTAGCATGGCTTTTGGCAGGCTTACCGTGCAAGTACGTGGGCAGGTAAACACAGGTATCTCTGGTGGACACCCCCACTTTTGAGGTAGCTCCCTTCAATAATCAAAACAGAGTTCATTGGCTTTATCACTGCATTGTCCGTATGATTCATTTCATATGCAAATTATAGCTGAAGACATGAAGTCTCCATCTAAGATGCCTAAAATGATCACTCACACTCTGAAAGTGACTTTGTCTCTCCAATGACTAGAAATAGAGCGTAGATGACTATCCCAGATGGAGACATCCCTTGTTGCCTCTTGGCAGTGAAGAGTTTAAAAGATACGCTAGCCAGCTGCACGCAATTAAATGTAACATCAGATATTTGCCTGGGCTGCCATTAGTCCTCCTTTTATTCTTCAGTCAATGACAGCAGCAGTTATTTGTGCTTTCCAAGTGCCCATCCAGGACACGTGAGCAGAGGTTGGACTTTCACGGCGCATGCCTCAACAAACACATAGCTAGCAAGCCACTGATCCGCTGATCTAACAGCCTTTTTCAGTGGAAAGGTAGGAAGTTGGTACAGACAGCAGCTGTGCAAGCCACACACTGGGACAGTTGAACAGTAAGCATAAGAGCATAAGAACCTGGCTGAGATCCATCTCACTTATATTTAGATAACCCACGAGTCATCAAATTCTCATAAATTACATATTCTTACAGGTATTTAAAGAAAGTGGAATGAAGCACCTCAGTTCCTTAAAGCCTGGATATGGGCTGCTGCCTGCGTTGTGAAACACTCCGATACCTTTTTAACTCTGGCCTTAGGCTCCCTTAATAAATATTTAAGATAAATGAGGCTTGTCCTCCCCTAGTAGCAAGTCATCACAGTCATGACTTCAATTGTTGTACTGTGCACTCCCAGTCACCGCACCCTTCCGTTTGCCTCTTCTCTTGCTTCACGTACCTGCCTGTTAGGAGAAAGTGGGACAGGCAGTTTAATTGGAGAAGAAAGTTCACTACTGGGGAAGGAGTTCACAAGTCTCCTCTCTGCCCCTAGGCAGAGAGCAGCAAGTGATGTCAAAGCCTACTGGTGATCTGGCTTGTCATTCTGCCTGGGAGGGGAGTGGCAGAATGGAGAAGAAGCACTTTAAAGGAGACTGAGGAAGTGAACTTGTGATGCCACTGCGAAGCAGCCCTTCGGCTAAAGCCAATTACTTACCCAGCCACCTCGAGATTACACGGAAGAGCACCTTGAGGTGAAACAAAGGAGAGATGAGGAGGATGGCAATGAAAAGACTTTGGCTGTTCGTTTTCAGTGCAAGTAAGTACTAATTTGGTTATGTCCTCAAGGGTTGGGTAGAAGGAAGGAAACAGCACTACAAAGTCCGAGTATTCCAATAGACTTTGTGTGTTTCGTTTTTTGTTTAGTCAAAGTTCCTTCATGTTTATGAGCAGGCAGGTGTGTTTACCATCTCTGTGCTGAATGTCCAGACTCACAGGCATCTCCTAAAGCCACAGGACTGTATTAGAAACAGGAAAAGAATGCTGTTCTTCATGAGGCTGGAAAACATTTTTTAAAAACAGACTTAATGGCCTCTGTTAAATACAATATTTGTCTCTAAAGAAGGAACTTCCTCAACTGGAAGTGGAAAAGTCTTAAGAGTTTTATTCTTTGATCCATAAATCTGCAGGTAGCATCCGTCTCCACGAGTTTAAATCCTACTGTTTGTATGTACTCTGATACAACTTGTGATCTCTATATATTATTCACTTCAAGGGGATGCACAACGATACCTACTAACGCGTATAAACCAGCCAGCTCACCCTCAGCTTCCATCACAGACTTGCCCTTTCTTTCCTCATCCTGCCTTGCAGAGCCTGCAGTCTCAGTTCCATTGCTTTTTGCCCTGTCTTATCTTCTCATACCAATGCTCCTACACCTTCTTCCAGGCTTCAGACAAAGCCACGTACATGGAAATTGCTCGGGTTTTTTAACAGAAATCCTGAAAACCTCACTTCAACAGTAAGACCCACAAAAAGGAAATTCACAGAGTTTAACAGAATTTTAAAAAGAGGATGTGCTCCATATGCAACAAATATAACTTGGCTCATGATTTGATGATCATTACGTAAATTGTTTAACAACATTGGTATTCATTCACCTTTTTCATTATTCTCACCTTCCGTGCTATCCAAATCATAGATGGGAAACTTTTCAGAGCAGAAATATGTCTGTTGGGTGAAGCTCTTCTTGCCTGTTTGGTCAGGACTCAAATGGTAATAATTCAGTGTTAAAATACTGGCCTGTAAAACAATTTTTGGAGAAGGTAGAGTAGATTCCTGCACTGCAGCAGAGTAGAGAAACTGCACAGCACGTGGCAGCGCAGTGTTGGGATGCCAGAGCTGCCCTGAACGAGCTGCATCAGGATCTCAGCACAGACTGACCTCTTCTGCTGTTCACTGCAGTGCTGTGAATAACTGGTACTGTGTCCTTGCTGAAGGAAAAGCCCCTAATGTCATTCTGAATCAAATAAAATATTTACTTTTAATGCAAATTTCACATGTAAGAGGTTTCCCCCTCTCTCAGTTTGGAATTAAATTTCAGCTAAATTCTGAGGTAAAGTATTGAGGAATTAAAAGCTGGAGCATTTCCTTGTGAAGTAACTCATTTCCATTTTTCCTACATTTCTCACTAGTCAAATCTACCAAGACAAATCAATAAAAACAATTTTACTTCATCAGAATCTCATTTTTTTTCATCAAACAAAATACTCCTCTAAATGTTTCCAGCCCTTCATTCTGTTTTGATTAACACTCAGTAGAGATAGTGGAAGTAGACACGTCACTTAGATTATTTTTTTTCTTCCTTTGTACAAGTATAAATGTTTAAGTTGAACAGAGGGAGAGAAAACCTTTCTCAATTTCTTAAAATGTTATAGACATACTAATTAATAATGCAGAAAAGTAATTCTAAGGCTTAAATCTAGGTGACACCATCCCTCTAGTACTATAGAAGCTATTTGCTGTCTCTCCTTTCCTGAAGCTCTTTCAGAATCAGTCCTCTCCTCTCTTCAGCCAGACTTTGAATAGATTCTGTTTTCTGTCAGAAAAAAACCCCAACCCCTGAAGAAGAAACCCCAATTTTCAGACATGCTGACTGTAACTAGCCAGCTGTTGGTGACTTTGTGAAGTGAAATGTGACAAGGAGGAGGAAGGAGGAAATTGGTGTGACTGAATGGTGTCCCAGAATGAAACCATGCAGCTTCTCCCAGAGCCAGAAGGAGCCCTAACAAGAAAGCAGTGGGAGCCAGAGAGGTGGAAAATGGGAGAGCATTAGAAGAAGTTGGGCATTAGGGTGACAGCAACAGATGAATAAGCCATCTTGCTTATTACGGGCTGTCTCTCTTGTACATGGTGTTTGGTTCAGTTGTTCCTTGACTCTGTACTGAAGGTATGTTTGGAAAAAAACAAAGATCTCATTTATTGTTGGATCTGAGTCATACAATTGGAAGAAGGAAAAGCATTTGTGAGGGGAAGCCTTTGGGTTGGGCAGTCTCTCCTATCTCAGGGCTGAGACAAGACCTGTCAGTGAACCCCAGCCTGGTAGAACCTGTTTCTGAGTAACAACAGGATCAGGAAATGGATTTTTCTCCATGTCCTAGTACAGATGGTGGTGCTTTTCACCTAAATGCAGGAAAATGTCTCTATCCAGTCGCGACAGGCAACGAGGAACCTTTCATACATGTCTCTCATATAGAGGGCAGGATGAAAAATGCAGTCAGAAAGAGCTCTGGGGCTGTGCAAACACGGCCCTTGCCCTGGGTGCTCCAGAGCAGGGAAAGACCCGGGAGTGGCTGCAATAAAACCATGCTAGAAATACTTTGCCCTGCTGGTTTCCTCCTCATAGCTGTCAGGAGCTGTAAATGAATTAAGCCCTAAGAGAACAGAAACCACAACTGCCACATCACAGAGGAAGAGCCTAAAACACACGCTTAACTAATTAACTGTGCCAGACCACAGAACAACTCAGTTATGGGATGGGGAACACAGAAAGGTGGGAACTTCTGTGAGAAGCATCCTGCTCTGGTCACTCGGTCACCTCTCCTTATCAGGATGCTAACAGGCATAGAAGGCTCTCTGTATTCCTGATGAAAATATCTGAAGCTGCTTCTGAAGACAGCTGTGGAAGGGAGGGCATCCCTGCCCAGTGGAAGGAAAGAGGGGTACAGGGGAGGAAAAGGTTTGGCTGCTGTGAAAATTCCCATCAAACTCCTCTCAGGAGAGGGAAGATGCAGCAGTTCTGTAAGCGTAGGCTACTTCTAAGAAGAGATTTGAAGGACCATTTGCTATGGAGAACAGACTGGATCCAGGAAGCTGTTACACAAGCTTTTCCCTCTTCCAAAGCAGAGCAGCTCCCTGAGCCAACTGTCCCACATTACCCCGTGCAAGTCACCTGGATTGCTACCTGCAGGTTAATAGCACAGTGACAACAAAACCCCAAAAGGGCCCCTACGTGGTTGTTTTCTGACAGATACCATCATTCACTCCTGTTATCATCAAGGATCTAGTCATCTTGCCAATGGCTTACTCTTATTGACCTAATGCATGTGGCTATGGTCTTTTCCTGACTCAAAAAGCACGTATTCATAATCCATTTGCAACTCAAGGTGGGATCTAGATGTCCTTTGTTGTCTCCCTCACAAGTTACATTTCCTTGTGGATCTAATCTGGACCCAAGAGATACGGCAGAATGAGGACCCAAAACTTGCTAGATGGCAACTTCTCAGTCAAATCCTCTCCAGGGAACACTAACTCAGCCTGGTTCTTTCAAAAGCAAACTTCCACCACCACACACAGCGTTCCCCTCTCAGGGAGGTCGTACATCTCTGCCTTCCTCCACTTTCCTCCTTGCTGGACCCCGTTCCTCTTTGCCATGGGAGTGCCTCTGAGCAGCACTCCCTTTCTTGCCTCCCTACACTCTCTTTAAGTGGTTTTAGACTTAGATTTTTTTTTCAAATTATAGTTTGGTGCCATAAAAAAGAAAAAAACCCCACCACCCACACAATCTGTAAGGAGAAAGCAGGTGTTTTTAAACACAGGTTCCCACAGGCATGAAGGTCACCTACAGCTGGGCAGAGGTAAATCTCCAGCCCAATTCTACAATAACGAAGACCTGTCACTAGCTAATGCTCGAGTATGATGAATTAAGCACCAAGTCAAATGGAATACAGCACACAAGAAACACCTACCCTGCACCCTGCCTGCTTCACCAGGGCACAGAGGGATTTCTGGTTTATTCAACTCTCAGCTCCATAGTTCTTGGAGAAAGGTGACTACTACCCTGCTCATTTTTACAAACGAATAGCTATTCTTCTCTTGTTTCTTTCAAGCTCTCTCTGCTTTTCTAAGTTTTTCTCTTTTCAGGGCATTACATGAACAGGTTTTGATTCCCCAGCACAAAATGTCACTTCTCTATGGACATGGATTGAGGCAAGCTATTTGACAGTTTTCCTGATCCATGAAATTTGACAATATCAATTTGTTAGTTTAGCCTGAATCCTTAAGACTGCTGATGCACTTGTATTATCTGTTTATCTGTCTCTTTCTGTACATTTAGAACTGTCAAAGGATGTCAGTCACACTGAAAGAGAGCTCAGGAAAAAAAATACATCTTTATAAACTCCATGGCAATGTATGCCTAGGTAAAAAAGAGGGAAGCAAGGAATGGAAAGCAGAGTTTAGCTCCTAGCCATCCTGTGCAGCAGCTTCCCACAGTCAATCAGCCACAGCATACATCACCTTTTGCTCAGTGGGGAACATCACAGGTGACAGAGGGGATGGGGGGTTATTGTGGCACCTAAGAAAGCCAAAGAGACAAAAAGTGGAATCCAGATGTCGTTCATTTTGCTGACTGCAGAACTTATTCTCTTCCTAGTTCTGGTGACTGCTCATGCCCTCACTGTGGAAACACCTGAGAAGGAAATCAAGGTGGCACGAGGGAACAACGTCACTCTCCCCTGTCATTTTAAAACCACGGCTTCTGTTACCTCAGGAGATGTTGTTGTCTGGAGGAAAACCGATAGCGCGGTAAATCAAGTTGCATAAAGAAACATATGATGGAGCATCCAAGAGGGGGTGGGAGGAGAGATGTAAGGAGGACTGTGGGTGGGAACACGTGTTGGAAGAAAAAGATTCCTTCAAGGCTTTGTTTAATCTCAGAACTATGCAAACGAACTCGGATTCTAGATGCAATTTAACCCAAATCTATTGCATGATACAAGCCCCCATCCTTCTCTTTTCTCTCTCTTGGTCTTGCATCTGTGTACTGAGGATACATCACTAGATGTACTGCGGGTTTACATCTACTCACATAGGTGAAACACTCATACTTTTTAAGAAGATAGGTATATTTTAAGTATAGATATTATACATGTATTTTATATATATACACATATATATATGTATTGTTGATGCTATAAAAAAAGTTTTAAGTTGATGATGACAGTACATGGACTGGCTCTTGAGGTCTCCTACATTCACATAGACTATCTGAAGGTAAAGAGACCTCTAAAGTTCTCCTTGGCTTCCTGGGAATTAGTGAGAGGAAGCAGCCTTTGGGGATCTCCTTGGAGCAAATGCCAAGGGTTTCTTCTCTGAAGATCCTTGCTGGAAGAAAGCCAGGGAGTTTGTGTAATCATAGAGGAACTTGAACGACATACCGATCTTAGATTGGTGTCCTGTCACAGAGAGGAAAGGTGAATAAACCCCAGCAAAAGAAATCAGTTGTCTCTGACTTCAGAGAAGGTGGGAGGAGGGGATTCCAGACCCTTTTGAATTTCCATGTTTTTCTTGGCTTTTTGGCAAACTGAGGCAGCTTAAAGCCCTCTTTTCCAAGTGCTTGTCTCTTAACAGTGGGCTAATCCACTCAGTTAGGTTGTAGACTCACCCAGAAGAAACTAAGATCATTTTCCCTCCCTCTCCATCAGGATGACGCTGTCACTAGGTATTTCGATGGGCTTGTACAGTATGGCAAGGGCTATGAAAACCGTATACAGTTCAGTGGTGATGTAAACCAAGGGGACATCAGTATCACCATCATTGCAGCGACCATGGAAGACAACGGGATGTATGCGTGCAACGTTCGGCTACGGGATGACCCCCCCAGGCAGACTGCAACCTTGGATCTTTTAGTACTTGGTAAGTATGATGGAGACAACACCAGATCCATTAGATAAAACACTGACCTTCCTCTAATAGCCACATTGGTTTATACAACAGATTTTCTAACAGGAAAACAAAACAAAACATTCCAGGAAGACATCATCCACAATTCCATCTTTGGTCTTTTCCTACTACTACGGAAGTAGGGTAGAAGGCTTAGAGCATCCAGCGCCCTTAGACACCTGACTGCAGAAAATAGTCTTTAAAGTTGTATAGTTCACTTTCCTAATAACCCTTGCCTCATTACAGGGCATTCCTCATTCCCCCTGTGGCTTGTCATACTCCAGTTATCAAAGGAAGGGTTACCCAACACTATTAAACACATCCTAAAAAGCATCTTAAAACTCTTTCTTGGCTGACCAGTGCCAAGAAGGGAAAAACCAATTACAGACCAATTCACTCCAGTTCCTTTGCAAAGAAGGTGGCAGGTGCAAGCCCAGCCTCTGTTCAGCAAGAATAAAAATCACAGGAGCAGGAGATGGGTTGAAACAAAAAAACTACTTCTGATTATTAAAATTCCTTCCTATTTTCTTCTTTCAGTTGCACCATCCAAGCCAGAATGCCAGATTTTGGGGACAGCAGAATACGGGCAGACAATCAATCTGACCTGCACTTCTCGTGAGGGCTCCCCAAAGCCCAGATACACCTGGCAAAGCTTCAACGTCCAAAACGAGCCCCGGCCACTACAAACAACAGAAGGTATGGGAAAGTCAAAGACACCAAGTCTTCAAGCTCTCTGTACATCAAGGCTGGAAATATTTTGAAATGCAAACACAAAAATGCACTTAAGGCTTTTTCCAGGAAGTTCTCTGAACAGGATTTTGAGCAGTTGTCCCTTTGATACAAGACACACTCACAAGTAACTTAGCAAGGGGAAAAGGACTGTTACCTGAAGTAACAATGGTCAGTAAGATTTTCACTTCAGCTCTCATCTGGTGAGGAAGCTGTCTCACCCTGGAAGCAGACAGAAATAATTCTCAACTGCTGGGCGTAAAGGGGACACAACATGAGGAATAACATCCAGGTTTCTAACTGGTGTTTCCATACATCCCAGCTCACTCAACAATGACCACGTCACTTTCTGTTGTGAAGGCAAACAAAAATTGGGTCTGGAAACTACTTTCCTTCCAGAGATGACTCCTCACCTAGAGGAAAGTGGTATCAGAATTTTTTTTTGCTTTCAAAGCGTAAATGAGGCTTCTAGTTCTTTAGGACTGTCACACAGGCCCCAATATTTTATTTGCTTTCATTTTAAGTCAGAACCTGAAAAGAAAAAAAGAACTGAATTTCCATAATGGGACCTTTTGTAGAACTACGCACACAGAAGTGAGGGTTTAATAGTCTCTGAAGTGTAATAGTGACAGAGGATTCAGATTTATTCCTCTAAACAACTTTGTTTCTTTCTGGTATGTTCAGTTCCAGAAAGACTGAGTACCTGAACTTATCCTTTTTGCTTTAAGTTATTGTAGCATCGCTAAGAAGGTAAATTAAGTATGATCAGACTCAACAGAATAGTCAAAACTTGCTCGCTGATTCTTGCATAAATTATGCAGAAGATGAAAAGTCACCAGGGACACAAACCTTATTCATTTCACTGGCCACTAAGTGGTGCCAACGCACCATGCACAGCCCTGAACATACCGGGATGTGTGTCTTAGAGCAGCAGCTGCCACCTGCTTCTGCCATCACCCTGTTCTTCCAGGGGACAGGAGCCTCTTCTGATTCATTCCCACCTCATCGAATCACAGACTGGTTTGGGTTGGAAGGGACCTTAAAGATCATCCAGTTCCAACCCCCCTACCATGAGCACCAGTTCTCATCAGAGCACTGATGTCCACACAGCATGCCAACTGTCCCCTTCTGCCCCAAGCTGGCTGGACACCCTGCTGTCACTACAAGCCATTTCTTCCTGTGCTAAGCAAGTCCCAGTGCTGCAGAGTGTGCAGAATCCCCTCAGGAGCCACTCCAAAATTTATAGTATCTGACCTGCATTTTTCCCCAGTTTGACTCACCAGTCAAGTACTTTTGATGTAATATAGGAGGACTCACAGTCCAGGAATAGACTGCAACTCTGAGAGCTATAAACATAACACTGAAAGGAAAAAAGTGAAGTAAACTCAGACAGTATGTATTGAATAATAATTTTTAAAAAGCATGCTCTTTTACTATCTGTCGCTAGGCGCCAGCAGAGACTAAACAGAATCCCAGTCCCATCAGTGGGCTGGAAAGAAGTGAGATCACAGGGGAAATAAAACAGGAAAAGTCACTGAAAAGTATTCAGAGCCTCCTGCTTTTAGAGCAGGAATCTGGTCCTCTATCAGTAGATCACATGCAAAAAGCACAGACTACACATACAAATGTCAGCTGGAGATGTAACAAACAAGATCTGACTGCCTGAGCAGAGCTCAGCTTTGGTATATGGTCCTGAGCTCTGCTGGGCTGGACAGCAAACATCAGTGGCACAGCAATGCCATATCACTGCATTTCTTTTCCTTCATTTATTGTGACACTCTGCACGGCCTCTCCAGGACTAGAAATCTATTTCCCCCACAGACCTGAATTCATATCTGCAATCCTAAGAGCTGGAGGATTGAAGAGTTTTTTTGTTGTTTTACAAGTTAATTCATCAGATGGCCAGTTCTCAAAGTCAGATGCCACTTTGGGCCACCTTATATTTCTCAGTAAAATCTGATGCAAAAAAAGCTTTCACTGAGCACACATACTTCTTCACCCCCCCACCTACAATTTTCTTTCTAAAAGGAATGTTCAAATGCCACATGTTCCCTGTAATCAAAACAGCACCCTTCCGTGTGTCGTCCCACAAATCACACTAAAACCTAGGGATGAGCAGGGCAGCTCCTGAGCAAGCTGGAGCAATCCATCAGCTTTAACAGCCTCTCACCACTCCTACCTGCGCTAGAAACGAAGGGCTGCTGTCCCCACTTCCTTCCCTGCTTTAATTCTTTGCCTTTTCTTGCACTGCATTTGTGTTTTCCAACAGGGGAACAAATAACTCTGAAGAACATCTCAGCGGACACCTCTGGCTTTTACATCTGCACTTCAACAAACGTTGTGGGAAAAGAATTCTGCAACATGACAGTCAGCGTTGTGCCACGTAAGAGACGGGGTTGCTTGCTGGAACAGCAGTACCAAAGTGCCCTAGCTAAGTGGGAAAGGATTCATGGGGCAAAGTAGGCAGAAGTATAAAATTCTGCTTTGTTTCAAGAAAACAGCACACTTTTACCTTTAAGACAGATTCTCTGCCCTGGTTTACACGCTCACAAAACACTAACTCAGAGTTAGCTCACAGGTGACAAAAAAATGTGTAGACTGAGATAGGCCTGAGCTCCCAAAGTCTGAAACTAAACTGTATCAACAAAGTACAGCAGTTGTGCAGATCCAGGGGCTCCTCCGTATCACTAGCAACTAATTGCTCCTGCAGACTCAGCTGCTCAGTACAGAATTAACTCCAGTTCCTGTAGTCAAATAAACGCGGCTTGCACTCAGCCTGGATCTGGTAGTGAGAGCTGACACCTGGTGGTGGGATTTGAAGTTGAGCGATCGTGCTGATGGCATTTGAGATCATTCTCACTGCAAAATTCTTCTCTTCCTCCGCAGCATCCATGAACATAGCTCTGTACGCCGGCATCATTGGCGGAGCCGTGGCTGCCATTATAGTGATTGGTATTTTAGCCTATTGCTGCTGCTGCCGGGCGGACAAGAACAACGACTATGAGATGACGTAAGTTCCTTTCTCTAGAAGAGCAAATGGGATATAGGAAGGGTTCACGTTCTCCCTCCAGCATCAACATACAGAGTGGAAAGCACAGAAGGAAAAAAAAGAACTCAAGGGAAGTGTGCACTGCGTTCTCCTTTCTGTTTCTATCCCAGTGGCTCCCATCTCTCCTCACAGAATATACCCAGTATTGCCAGACCCCTCTGTGGTCTCTGGGGTAGAACCCAAACATTCAAACCTTGGAAGGGAATTAGCAAGCCCAAGTCAGTCAAACGTGCACAGCTACTTGATAAGCAAAGCCCAGACTGTTTCTCACTCCTCTGAACCCCTAGAGCTGTTTCTGTCCTTGTAAGCCTAAATCACCATGAGGTTCTGTATTCAAAGTTATCACTCCAAGATAGAAACCTTTTGTTTATTCTCATGATGGAAACAGACCATTGGAAGAAAAGTGGAATGAGAAAACACACACCAGTCACCCTGTCTCTACATTCAGGCACTGGAACGGGCTACCTGGGGAAGTGGTTGAGTCCCCATCCCTGGAGGTGTTTAAAAGACAGGCAGATGAGGTGCTCAGAGATATATATGGTTTAGTAGTGGACAGGTACAGTTGGACTTGATGATCTCAAAGCTCTTTTCCAACCAGGTGATTCAATCATTCTACATACATGCTATAGAATAAAAAAATGTAGCTCACACACCTCTTGCACCACCAGCAACACTTAATTTATGGAGTTCAGTTTGACACACTTCCAGGTCAGTTTAGAGCAGTCTAAAACCATTCTAACACAAAACCTCTTCAGTAAAATTTCTACCTGGTTTTAATTAACATCTCTACTCCTGAACAATGTTTTAGGGAGCGAGAAGACAGAAACGAACACTCCAAGGACATGCCTACAAGGAACCAGAGAGCAGAGGACGATGTTGAAGATGAATGAAGAAAGAAGCAAGAGGCCAATGCCAACTTCAGGATTTGCTGAGGCACAGACACCACTGTAGAACAGAAACCAACCCCTCTTTCTTACTGCAGGAAGATTTTTTTGGAATAATAAAATGAAAGCTAATGGCTCTGCCTTCAAGTTCTGGGAGAGACTATCCTTGTCTCCCTGGAAATAAGTACTTAACATACAACGAGTACTAACAGATAACCTCACAGCAGAAAAATGCGTGTCAAGTACTGTTTCACCCAGTCATCCAAAAATAACCAGTCTTCTCAACTTCCCACTTTCTGAAAAAAGAAGCCAGTCAGGTCTATTTGGAGAACAGAGTTGCTGCTGTTTCCCCAGATCCACAGAAGGTTTCAAGGTCACCAACTGCAAGTCATCAAGGAAGGGTGGTCTTGTTTATGGTGTTATGCAAATATCACAGCTTACAGCATTGCCCAGCATAAAAAAATAATTTCATGCAGACTGAAACAAGCTGATTTTTAAGGACATTTTTTAAAATGTGTTCTTTGTATATATTATACATGCACATATAAATAAAAATACAGGAAAAAAATTCACAGATGACCAATGAAAGTCTCCTGTTTGGAACAACAACGCATACTAAAGGAACTGATAAGGTAAGAAGTTAGATTGATTTGTAATTGGCAGCTGATAACATCTAGAAACAGTAAGTTTCTGTCTTAAAAGTAGCTGTCAGATTCCTGAACTTATGAGTTCCAGCTCAGAGAGTTCCTAAATACTAATTTTCATTACATTATCCTTTCCTCCTGACTGTTGCACAGGCAAGTCAGAAACAGCTCATTGTTTTGGCTGCTGCTTCTGAAAAATTTGACAGTGAGAGAGCAGGTACATGGCAAGTGCATCTTTAATGAAAGGAAGAAAAAGAAAAGGGGGGCAGAGGGAAGGGAGAAGTACCTTTTCATTCAAAACTAACAATTTAATTAGAAGCACTGTATGCACAAAACATGCAAATGTGGAGAGAACTCCCACCCCTGGTACCTTATCTTTGGAATAGAATGGGCTGTCTTTGTCCAAAAGACTGTCAATATGGTATTAAAGCTAATTAAGAGCTGTTTGGTTTGGGTGGGGGGTTTTTTGTGTGGTTTTGGTGGTGGATTTGTTTGGTTTTTTTTAAAAAAGATGTTCAATAAATGACTTACACTACAATATTTATCCTTTCAAAACTCTCTATAGCAATTTTGATCTCAGGAGTTTCAGAAACTCACTGCAATGTCTCCCACAGATCTTTTACCCCAGGTAGCTACTTTTAAATCTGGAACAAAAATCTAAAATACAACTTTAAAGAAGAACCAGCAACACTCCTACACACAGGCAGCATTTTCGAGATGCTGAACTATTCAAACCGAATTACCACAATTCCTACTGTGGTTTATTTTCTGGTTGCCTTCATTTTATGTAGTACTTCAAATATAATTATTCATTTGTACTAAAAACAACTGCAAGACCAATAACCAGAGTTCTTTACAAAGTATGCACAAACCCAAATCTTTCTAGCAATGAACAACCTGAAATGCAACTCAGCAAGACATTCTGAGGACCTATTCCTGTGCTTAGTTGAGATGCATGACAAAACACTGCAAAAATGGATGACTAAAAAAAGAATTTCAAACACAGAAGCTGAAAGCAGATAAAAAAATAGGTGCACAGCTCAGAAACAGAGCTGATACAGATTTTATTCTCTTCTGTAACAAGCAAGTATAGTATGACTTATCTAATTAGCATTGTAACAAGTTTTTACTGTGAAACAAAAGCTATTTCTTTTATAAATGTTTCAGACATTAGTCAGCACTCCTTGTTCCCTCACAAACATCTCTACCCTGTGGTTGAAGAGGGCTTCTGCTCAGCGATAATACTGTGGATTCTCAAAGACCTGAAGTGGAAAGACCAGCAAAAGGATTTGATAATTATCAGAAGAATTGAGGGACAGAAACTGGTTCTGGCCTCTAAACCATTTTAACACTGTGTTAGCTACCCCAGACTCTTCACTCTTACTGTAAGTGAAGCTTAATTGCTGCTTGTCAGCTGAAGTCTTGAAGTGACATTTGCACACTGGTCACTTTAACCATAAAGAAAAATGTAGATTAGCAAATCTGCATTAAGTTATCTGAAGAAACCAGCCACAAAATACAGAAGAGGTTACATAATGACTCCAAAAACAGGAATTCAATTCTCTGTAAGCAGGTTCCATAAGAACCAGCAAGGTAAAAGCAAGAAAGTCAAACTTCACCACCATTAAAGCAGAACTACTTACGTTCTGCAATGCTAAGCTTAGTTCTACACAAGGAAATAAACTAAGTGATAGCACATAGTGAGATGGCTGATATATTTTACTGCTGCTAATAATTTACTTATTTATTTTTAACAAGACTAACATTTTGGAACTTGTGCATTTTTCCCCAACCAATTTGTTAAACTCAGTCAGACAGAAATATACATTTTCAAATTCCTAGCTTACTCCAAAGTTCTCTTGTGACTGAGTTAATTACTTGTGTATCTTGTATGTCTTTTGAAGCAGCAATAACTCCATATGTGTATGCCCACAACTTTAAACAAAATTAAATAAGCACTAATATATCTGGGAGGGGGGAAGATGGGGAAAGCTACCAATACTTAACTAATTACAAAGAATTAATGTACATATACCTAACTTCAATCCTCACTTCCCTCAAAAGATGGGAAGTAGGCAAGAAAGTAAGTTCCTACTTTACTCTTTCTAGAGCCCATTGTAAATTACTGTTTAGTTATGTTCAACTTTCACGTGGAAGAATATGCACGTACAAGCTTTATCTGTGCATCAACAGGATGAACCAGAACACAAGGTTTGAAGCTCTCACCAAGACATACCAAGGGGATATTTTAAAATTACCAATTTTTCATTCTGACCCTACCTCAGCAACCTGCAGCAGGCCATCTACTCTACAGTGAAGCACATGAAGGAAGTGAAGAAGTCCACTTCATCAGTTAGTAACCCAGTGAAAAGCAGGCAGGACAGAAATCTTGCATGCAATTTGAAAAATCAACTCACCCTGCACTGCTCAGAGCAATTACATTAACCAGGACTACACCACATCTCCCTCTTGGGTTTAAAGGGGAGGAACATCTCCCCAACACATTACTCCCTCACTTCCCAGCTTTATTTCCATTCACATCAACATTTCTGCTTGTTTAAAATGTTCTAAAGGTAATATAGTATATAGCTTACTGGTTGGGGGGGAAGTGTTCGTTATTTGTTCCTAATAGCAGTCACTTAGCTTTCAAGAGTTATTCCTACCTAGACATTTTTCATCCAAGGAACTCAAAGGTCTACTGTTGAAAGCAAATCACTATTATTTATGAGTGACAGAGTGATGAGACAGAAGTTAAGTGACCCAACTGAAGAGACAGATCACAATGCAGGAGAAGCATGGAGATAAAGAGGAGTCAGGATTCCCAGTTCTCTGATACACCCTGCAAGGTAAGCATTCTCATCAGCACCCTTGTTCCTATTTCACCTTCAAAATTCCCTTTGTTGTTGTTGTTTTGGGGTTTTTTTGTTTGTTTGTTTGTTCCCTTCTTGGTTTTGGGCTTTCTTTTCAGGAGCGTTGCTCTCCTGCCAGTCCTGGCCATACTGTTGCAAGGGGTTCTTCCTGCCCAGGTGCAGGACTTCACTGTACTTCACAAGGTCCCTGTAGCCCACCCCTCCAGCCTGTTTAGGTCCCTCTGTATGACAGTCCTGCCCTTAAGCGTATCCAGTTTGGTGTTTTCTGCAGGCAAGAGTGAACTCCATCACTTCTTGCAGGTCACTGCTAAAGACACTAAAGAGGTCATAGTGATGGAGTTCACTCTTGCCTGACCCAATCTTCATTCAGTGCTAGTGCTCTCCTCCTCCCTGAAACTCTTCCTGAGTAGAGAGATCTCAGAGACCTTATTAAGTAAAGACTGAATCAAAAAGGGTACCGAGCACTTCAGCCTTATCTGTGTTAACTCCAGCCACGTCACTAAATCACCATTCAGCAACAGGACCACTTTTTCCTTGTTCAAGTCTTTTACTGCTCACAAAGTCATAAAAACTCTTGTTGATCTTGATCCTTTACAAGTATCAATTCCAGGAGAGCTTTGGCTTTCCAAAAACCACCCCTACATGCCTGGCCAGTGTTTGTGGGTTCTTCCTTTGTACTCAATGTCTGCTTCTACCTCCCATACACTGCACTAGGACTACGGTGCAACCACAATTTTCCTGTAAAATCCCCTGATAGATCTACTTGCATTCCTGGACTGTTCTTACATCTGAAAGACACTCTTCTTAATGAACTGCCAACCTTAACGGACTCCTTTATTCTTCAGAGCTGCCCCCCAGGGATTCCACCCCTACCCATTTCCCAAATAAACCCCAGAGTCTGCTCTCACTGCCTTCCTCGCTCTTCTCAGGATTTTGAGAGGTATTTACAGTATTACACAGACATAAAAGTTGACACTGCCACTGCTTATTACAAAATTCAGTACAGTGCACATTTCAGAACTGATCAGAGAGACAAGAGTTAATTATCTCACAATTCTCGTTGCTAGAGTAACAGCACTACTTTTCTATTTATTTCTATCATCTGTCCCAGGAAAGACACCAAGGCAGTCTTCTACCTGAAGAAGTTCACAGCATCATGAGCAAACCATCAAGATTAATTCTGGATGCACTGGAACTAGTACTGAATTTATTATAGACCAACATAAGGGAATTTGGAACTTCTCTCTCCTGCCTTTCACCTGTTCACTAGGGAGTAAGGGGAATTATTTGAAAATGGTAATTAGAGAAGCTTGTGGGAGCTTCTGAAACAGAACCAAGGAAAAGTGAGGGAACAGAGATAATACAGGGTTAGACTAATAAAAGTGTTTGCAGATTTCTTCATTTTACTGAATCATTGCAATAAAAATTAACTGGCAGCTCTTCTAGGGTGGAAGTGAAGGATGATAATCCTGCAGAAGACATCAACAGAGCA